ATAAGCTGTAGGGGAGACGGGGTAGCTAGACAAGCAGCCTTCACATGTACCTTAGGCTTTTTCCATTTGAGTGCTCTGGAGACAGGGACCTGCTGACTGGGAAAAGGGAAGGGGCTCATTCCGACAGCCCGGGCAAGAACACGGGCCTCCCCATTGTGCAGCCCCTAAGGGTACCATTTGCTTGTGTTGCATGGGCAAGGCAGGAACTACCCCGGAGGCTGGGGGCCGAAGGGTCCACAAACACACAGTTCCACCTCAGGGCACCTCCAGGACACAATGGGATGTTCAGCTGACCCATTATTAAGTGTAGTCCCAACAGAGAGATGCGTTTCTTCTATGGAATTCTGAGGTCTTCTAGGCAGGCTGGCTTTGCCCAGTTTCTCCAGAGCCCAAGACCTCTGACTGTAGCTGAGATGGAACAGTCACTAAAGACTCACTGTCCCCCTTAGATAAAATAAAGAGGGACGTGCCACCCACTGATGGGGTCCAAGGCCTGGCTTAGGGAAAGCTGGCTAACCCCACGGACCAGCATGGACAACTGTCCCCATCTGCCAGGCCTCCCAGATTCACTAGCAGGATCCGGCTGCCCAGACCCTCTCTAAGGTCAGGTGTGCCGGAGTCAGCCAGGAGGTCTGGGTCAAGCCCAGCAGGGAGGGCAGCCACGCACGCCTCTGCTGTGCAGTGCCTTGCCCATGCCCTTCAGGTGGCGCATCCGAGGAGAGAACAGATGGGAGCTTGGCTTCCAGAGGCAGCTCCTTCCTTAGTTAAGGAATTGTAGAACTGGGTAATTTATATCCCTAGAAAGACGCAGGACAACTGCAGGCCGGGCTGTATGTGTGTTTAGTTTTAAATTCTGTGACCTCTTCTTAATGAGGAGGTGCTTTGAAATATAGCAGGACAGTGGGATCCTTCAAAGGACTCACTTCCTTGGTGCTTTATTTCTTTAAGGGGAAGCATAAAAGATGGACGAGGAATAGCAGGAACGGGGGAGGGCGTTGCCCCGCCTGCATCGTGCAGACATTATCTGCTCTAAAACTGTCTCTAAAGGACAGAGAACTGGCTCTTGGCTGTGGTGGCCCTCAGATAATATCAGTGGTGAGCGATGACCCAGGATTTGTTGGCACCGAGCAAACACAGGGTTCTGGTGCCAGAATCCTTAGCAGAGCCTGGTAAGCACTAAAGGGGCCACAGGGCCTGGTGTCCGGGGGCCCCATGGTGAGATCGCTAGCTTTTTTTTTTTTTGAATGTGAATATCTCTTTGAATCACCTGGGGATCCTATAAAAATACAGAAAAAGATTCAGTAGGTCTGGATCGGGCCTGAGACTCTGCATTTCTAACTAGCCCCTGTGATGCTGCTGGTCATTGAATTGCATTTGAACAGAAAGACTTTAGAGAAGGCAGATGCTGGCTTCCTGGGTCCCACCAGGTGGTCTGGGCTCAACAAACACAAGAGGGCTTGGACCGGGCACAACCTGCACCATCCTAGGAGGGAAGGCTGTGGGACCACGTGGTCTTGAACGCTCTCAGATCTGGCTAGGAAAAGAGCAATGTTGTAGATGAGCCTTGATTTGGGTTTGGTGTCTGGTGTGGCCTCTTCCACCCCATTAGGTTAATCCCTCTAAGGAAAGGGAGTCTGCAGACTTAGGGCTCCTCGGTGGACACTCCCGTGGGGAGGAAGCCCAGCTCAATATTCCAGGCCACTGACCAGCTCCGAGTGTGTGCTAGGGAGTTGCTTTGAATGTGTCTACTTGAGCTCACATCGCTGGTGTGGCCAGCTAACCCTCTCCTGCTCACTTGGCTTCACAGGTCCCGGATGAGAAGGAGCTGACGACAGCCGAGTCCCACCTTCTCTGTGTGCTGGGAGCAGGGCCGTGAGGCCCCAGTGGCACCAATGCCAAAGAACAGCAAGGTGACCCAGCGTGAGCACAGTGGCGAGCATGTCACGGAGTCGGTGGCCGATCTGCTGGCCCTTGAGGAGCCTGTGGACTACAAGCAGAGTGTCCTGAACGTGGCCGGTGGGGCGGGTGGTAAGCAGGAGGCGGCGGAGGAGGAGCTGGATGCAGAAGACCGGCCGGCCTGGAACAGCAAGCTGCAGTACATCCTGGCCCAGATCGGCTTCTCCGTGGGCCTCGGCAACATCTGGCGGTTCCCCTACCTGTGCCAGAAAAACGGGGGCGGTAAGAGGCAGGCCTGCCGGCCTGGGGGGTGCCCTGCAAGTGGGCTGGGCTGAGGGGTGAAAAAGAACCCCTTCCCAAGGCAGGATTAGAACCTTTGTAGGTTGGAGGTCAGGCTTGCAGAGTAAGATGCCCTAAGAATCGCCAAGAGCTATCGAGAACCTGGAACGGCCTGGGTTCAAGTCCCAGCCCAGCCAGTCAGCTCTGGGTACAAGTTGCTTCATCTCTCTGTTCCTCGTCTGTAAAATGAGAAGAATAGTAGGATCCTTGGCAGGATGAAAAGAGCTTTATGTGTAGAATGCTTCACGCCATGTGACAGACACATCGTAAAGAGCAACTGTCGGCCTTTCCTTCCTTCCTTCCTTCCTTCCTTCCTTCGTTCCTTTCTTCCTTCCTTCCTTCCTTCCTTCTTTCCTTCCTTCGTTCCTTCGTTCCTTCCTTCCTTCCTTCCTTCATTCCTTTCTTCCTTTCTTCCTCCCTTCTTCCCTTCTTCCTTTCTTTATCTTTCTTTTTGGAGAAGTTAGTAATTAACAATAATTCCTTTCATATTATAATATATTCAGTTTCTGTTCAAATTTCCCTTCCTTCCTTCCTTCCTTCCTTCCTTCTTTTCTTTCTTTCTTTCTTTCTTTCTTATGGTGACATTGGTTAACGAAATCCAGTAAGTTTCAGGTGTACAATTTAGCAGTAAGGCATATATATATTGCATGTGTTGACCATTATTATTAAATGCTTACTAGGTGCTAGGCACTGTTCTAAGCACTTACTAAATATTAGGCTGAGATTTATGAAACTGCTGATATTTGAGCGTCTTGGAACAACCAAAGCACTGATCCTATGGTTCGACCATCGAATCTGCACAACAAACCCACATGAGGAAGGCGTTGTCATCATCCTCATTTTAGAGACTGCAAAACCGAGGCAAAGAGAGGTTAGGCAACTTGCTCGGGGTCACATAGCTGTGATAAAGTCAGGATTCAGACCTGGACAGTCTGGCCCCAGGGCCCGAGCATCAATCACCACACTTACCTGCTTCCCAGGTAGGAGGGACCTGCGTGCTGCCCCCCGCCCCCCCGAGTTGGAATCCCTCTGGAGGACCTTGCCCGGATAGCAAACCCCTTCTGCCCACCTGAGTCTGGATCTCAACCCTTATTCAATATGCATCTCAATAGGTCGAGACCACAGTGGTCTTTTAAATCCCAGGAATAAACCTCAGGGTTGGCCAGAAACAGAGCCAGAGTGTAGGCTGAGACACAGACTGTTGGTCACCCAGGCTGCTAAGTTTCCTAATGCCCTGAGCAGTGCTCCCAGCTGTTTTGACCGATGACCTGAGGCTCCTGAAAGCCACTGGAACATCAAAAGAAATCCAGATGTGTCCCTAAATTATATTTTCTAAAGTAGAAGATGGCACATTTTTAAACGATTTCAAAGAGGGTCGATATGAAAAGGTACCTCCGATTAACCAGAAGGTCCGCTCGCCCGGCCCGCAGCCCCCCGAGCGCTGCAGTTAGCTGGGCCTCAGAGTGGTAGAGAGACCAGCTCCGAGTCAGTGGCCCTGGGGCCTGAGAGACGGTGGCAGGTGGCGGGAAGTGGGGGGCTGGTCTTCGCTGCAGCACCCCTCTTTGGACAGCACTTACCTGCAGGTTTTCCCCGGTTCTTCGGTTGGAGGAGAGAAGCATCTGCCGAAGACGCCAACCAGCGTCTTTGACATCCTGAAACCCATCTCCCAGCATGTCTCGCCCATCCAGGGACACACAGGCGAAATACAGAACTAGTGTGGCCGTGTCCCTTTGCTCTCCCACAGACCACCTCTCTTTTGTTTCTCTGAGCTCAAGGCCGGGAGGCAGACTAGGTGAAAAGACAGAACCAGCAGACCTTCAGGCCCTCCCTCCTTTCAGCACCGTGATGGGGCTACTTGCTAGTGACGAGTTGAGTTTATGTGTTCGTGTGACTCTGTGCACGTGTGTGTTTAGTGAACGAGATGCCATCGTGTAAGGCTCAGTGGGTCGCCTCCCCTGGAAGCTTTCCAAATTAGCTCTATTGGACCCCAACCCCTCCCTCGGTTCTGTATGATGTGTGTGTATGTGACGTGTGTGTGTTCACACGTGCCGACATGGCTCACATGAATCTGTGGGTCCTGCCAGCTCTCCCCAGAGAGCGTCTGGGCCTTCTGTTGCCCTGACACCCCCACAGCCCATGCCTGGTACAGAGTAGGTAACGGCTGACTGTTGCCAGGTGCCACGTCTTGTGCCCAGGAGACGCAGATCCCCTGGGCTTGTTGGCAGATTGGGCCCATGTTGGGGAGCATCTGGGATGTCATGTTATGGGGGGCAGAGCAGTGTGGCTCGGGGTCTTGTGGAGCCTCCCAGCTTTCAGGGCTTGGTCCAGGGGTGCTGGGCGACCATCAAGGCACTGGTGACTGGGGCTAGTTTGACACCATTTGGCGGACAGGCAGGGCTGTGCCAACAGCATTACTAACAGGACTAGGTCGTTGGCACAGCTCTCGGCAGGGATCACTCGTCTGTGTCCAGACATGGTTTTAATTCTCCTGCTAAACGCCCTGTCACTTGGAAACGAGATTGTGTCTGCAGTGAGGCCTGAGACAGCGAGTTAATTTATCATCTGAAATCTTTAGCGAGATCTATTCTATCCTTTATGATCCTCCTAGCTACACTTTCCTGAACTGCTAATTTCTCCCCTGTTCCTTCCAATTAGCTGTAGATTAATGGCCATGCTGGTCAGACCCCCTCTCCCTGGAGAGCTTCCAAGCTCTGCTTCCCTGGAGCTGCCCAGTCTGTGGCGTCAGCATCTGGCTCGGACGTGGAGAAGCCTGTGCCTGGGGTCTGTGCCTGTGAGGGGGCCCTCCATCTGGGCAGCTGCTCTGTGGGTGGGCGGGGTTGTGAACAGGTGTCCCCAGAGTATGTCACGAGGTGAGTGTGTCTGTCTGCCTATGACTTGACATGTGGATTCCCGAGAGGCAGTACAGTGCCTGTCTGCCTGCCTGTCTGTCTGTCTGTCTATCTCTCGGTCCAGCCTTGTGAGTGGGAGGTGTTGATGTACATCTGGATCCTCCCTTAGCATTTCAGGTCAGGGGAGTCAAGGAGAGGAAGGCCGGTCTGAGTGGGCAGTGTGTGGTAGGTCACACGCATGAGCCAGAACATTCCCGGAGGAGGACAGGGACTGGTGACAGTCCGAGATGATCAGAGATGTAGACGGGACTGTAGGACCTGGCTGCCAGCCCTCCTTTACCCTAGCACCGTGCTCCAGATACCCGCTGACATTTCTCTCTCCTCCCCAGGTGCCTACCTGGTGCCCTACCTGGTGCTGCTGATCATCATTGGGATCCCACTTTTCTTCCTGGAGCTGGCTGTGGGCCAGAGGATCCGCCGCGGCAGCATCGGCGTGTGGCACTACGTGTGTCCCCGTCTGGGGGGCATCGGCTTCTCCAGCTGTATAGTGAGTTGCGGGCCAGCAGCGGGCGCTCACCGGGAGGGAGGGAGGCCGTTCCTGGGTACAGGGATTATAGACCAGAGTTCTCGGGTGGGTCAAGGGCAGGGAGGGGGACCCTCAACGTGAGAATTGCTTCCAGCTGCTGTCTCAAGGCCACATATTTCCTAAACTGAAAGTTGGCTCCACAGCCTGAAGCAGGATATATTGGGATTTTTAGTAAGTTGCAAAGGCCGGGACGTACTCACAAGGGGGTGCCTGGGACATCTCGGCTGGAGTTCTCTGGGGACACGTGGACCACCGCAGGTGGCTTTCTCTGCATACCAGCCTATCCACTCCCTGTGAGGAAGGCGCTTCCTCTTTCTTTGGTGAAGCGGTATTTTAATTGGGCAAGTGGGTGGCATGAGAAGAGGCAGCCCTGGGATCTCCTTGCCATTTTGCTGTTCATGAGCAGAGTTGGAGAAGGACTCAGACAAGAGCCAACCCAGGAGGGGTGAGGTTTTGGAACAGTGGATGATGGGGAGACCTGACTGGCCTGGATGGGGAGCTCTGTGAGGGCTCCAGGCTCATCCACGGGGCCTTGCTTAGTGCTCTAAGTGAGGACACTGAGCCTCCCTTAAGGGAAAAGCCTGCAGGCGCCCACACTTACACTTGTAATAAAAACTAGAATCTGCTTCTGGAAGGGACTGAGGGTTCTGTCAGGCCTGGCAGCAGGGCCAGTCTAAACCTGCCTGAAGCAGAGATGGGGGAGGGTCTGTGCAGCCCCCTCTCACGCCAGCATCGCCTCTGCACAGCAGACACAGCCGAATACAGCCCACTGTGCTGGGGCCGGCCGTGAGGGTGCGGGGGGTCTCCCCCTTGCACTGAAAACACCCAGGTAGAGGAAGTGGGTGTCTATTTTTCTCTCTATCCACTGTAAAGTGTGCTGTAGGAGTGTCTGCGCCTGCATGTCAGGGCTCAGGTGAAATCGATGAAGGGAGGGCCCTCAGCTGTCACACCGACCATCAGTGTCCCTGATGTATAATATAGCCAGGCCGCTGGAGATAGAAGGGGCTTGTCCACATCCAGAGTGGATGCGGCAGATTCCTGCACATGAAAGCATTGTTCTCAAAGAAACCCCTTGATCCTCAGCCAGAATCTATGCACCCCTATTTTAAGTACAATTCTGCCAAGGTCAGTTACTATGCTTCCAAGAAATGAGAAGTGACTTCTTTCTAGAGATGAAAAATGAGAACTGATGTCTTTCAAGAAGCCGGCTGCAGACAGTACCAAAGGGAGTGTAGTGTCCTGAGAGAAGGGTGGACACAGGAAACCAATAAGGAGCATCCAGAAAACCTCAGAAAAACAGAGCAGTCTGGGGCAGTTGACTACAGAGTCCAAAGCTGTGCGTGTTGCCATTGCCCCTGGGGGCAGCTCCGGAATTGTGAGCCTGAGTCATCAGGAAATGACAGGGAAGTGCTTTAAGCATCTTAGAAGAATTTCAAACCCGGAAAGGATTAACATTTTCAGTTTATTGCTTAAAGGAGAGAACTTTAATATCTGAAACATTCCGTGGATTCTCTGAATACCAGATGAATGGAGAATGAGGAGGGGGCCTCAGCTGCTCACTTCCCATCCCTCCTCCTCCTCCTTCAAGGCCACGTGCGACTGTGTGCAGTCCACCCCAGCCGTGGGCCTTGGGTGGGCATGAGGTATGGGGTGGACTTACCTGCAGCCTCCGTGACCCCCCTGCCCATGGATCTTCAACCTTAGGTCTGCCTCTTTGTCGGGCTGTATTATAATGTGATCATCGGGTGGAGCATCTTCTACTTCTTCAAGTCCTTCCAGTACCCACTGCCCTGGAGTGAATGTCCTATCAGAAGGAATAGGACAGTGGCAGGTAAGTATGGGACCCCCTGGATATGACCAGCTGGGAACCCCAGTCAGCCCTGTCCCAGCAAGGAGTCAGATGAGCCTAAGAAGCTTAGGTGTAGATTTGGGATTTTATTAACTTGCTGTGTCACCTTGCATAAGACACCTATCCTCTCTGATCCTCATTCCCGCTTCTGATGACCTCTTGCCAGCCTATCCCACAGAGTTCTTATGGGGATTGAATGAATTTGTGGGTATAGGTAAAGCTCTGGAAATTGTGTCTTTTCTTTATTTGTTACCAACTATCCTGTGCTACGCTAATACCATCCTCCCTGGAAACAGCCTTAATCGGCATGCCATATCTGTAAGGGGCTGGATGATTTATCCTACTTCACAGATGGGCAAACTGAGACCTAGAAGCAACTTTCCCATGGTCACACCACTGACTTAACGGAGGGATGGGAGCCCATGTCTCCACCTCCCAGCTCAGGACCTTCTCAAGGAACTAGAGGCCAGTTCTGCCTAACCCTTCCTGCCTTCCGTGGATAGACGGGGGCGAGGGGTGACATGAGTGGGAACTCAGCCCAATCACTGTGTCCTGAAGCCTCTCAGGCCCCATTGGGAGCCCAAGAGTCCTCAGGGTCTACCAGGTCCTGACTAACCTAGAACAGGCACAGCCCCTCCCTGCTGCCCACACTCAGCTGCCCCTCAGGAGAGGAGGTGGCCCCGCAGCCGCACCACTGAGGCCCCGTGGTCTTTGCTGCTGTTGCAGTGGTGGAGGCAGAGTGTGAAAAGAGCTCAGCCACTACCTACTTCTGGTACCGAGAGGCCTTGGACATCTCCAACTCCATCTCAGAGAGCGGGGGCCTCAATTGGAAGATGACCCTGTGCCTCCTTGTGGCCTGGACCATTGTGGGCATGGCCGTCGTCAAGGGCATCCAGTCCTCGGGGAAGGTGAGTCCGGAGGGGCACTGAGATCACACTGTCTGAGAAAGGTATGGAGAGCAGGGGGCTGAGAATTCTGGGTCATCTCATGCAGGATCCCGTGGGGAGGCTCGGCCTCTGGATGGCTCAGGTGACCACACAGGCCCTCTGAGGAAGCGATGGGAATGCCATTGCTACAGTATTGTTCCCGGTGGACAGCCCACCAAGAATGGGCTTGTGGAAAATCATGGCTTTGACTCCTAGCCTTCTGTGCTCAGATAACTCATGCCTGCTCTGCAAACTAAAGTGGGAACTAGGGGTATTAACTCAGGGACATTTGTCTAGATCCCAATCCTTCAGGATCCTAAGCAAAAGCCTTAGAAGAGCCTGCTCAGCAGTTTTGGTGAAAACCTGCAGTGTCTACAGCAAGCAGGCTCCGTGCGCAGGTGGGTGCCGTGAATGAAAGGGCCTCCGAGGGCGGCTCCTACAGCTTCTGCAGGTGCAGACCAGCCGCGCCCCACACACCTTCTCCTTATAGTTCAAATCCCCTTCAAATAAGGGCCCTTCCTTCTTTGTCACATGTCAGTATTCATGGACTGACTGCCAGGGCTGGAAAGGACGCTAGAGATCCTGTAGCCCAATTCACTCATTCTATAGATGAGAAAACTGAGGCCCAGAGATGGGAAAGCATCTCGCCTGAGATCACACAGCCGGTCGCTCCCAGAGCTGGAACTAGAGTCCTAGCTGTCTGTCTGAGGCTCCAGGTTCTTTACCAGACTTGGTGAGCGAGGAAGCTAAGCCTTGGAAAGGTAGCATGGTCTCAGCCACACCTCTTCCCTCTCTAAAGGCCAAAACTGTAGCTCACACATCGTGGCACTTATCAGGCACTGCCACGTGTATGAACACATTCGGTCCATGACAACGTTGGAAGTTAAGAGTTCTTATACCCCTTTTATAGATGAGCAGATGGAGGCACACTGAGGCTAGGTAAATGGCCCAAGGTCATGTGTCGATAAGTGGTAGAGCCAGGATCGAAACTCAGGCAGTCCAGCTGCAGACATGCACGCTGTTAACCTTCGCACCATCCTGCCTGAGCAGCCCTCCTGATTTCTTTCATTGCAGCAAACATCATGTGAGCATCTTCTTTGCATGAGGCTCTGTGCCAGGCACATGGGGATATGGAAATATGTAAGAAACACATGCTAGAAAATAGCACAGTATTTATAATCATAAGAGGACCTTCTTCTGATGTTTTTGCTTGGGAGCCATGTCTATAATCTCCCGGATGCCTTCCGTCAAAGGCGCTCTAAGGACAGGGGAGATCCTCAGGGGGTCCACTGGAGCCGGGGACAGAAAAGCAGGCACGAGACATGAAAAAATGAGGAGGGGAGAGCAAAGGGCCCCTTGCCCCCTTGGCGGCTCTTGGGGGTGGGGAGGCCTCAGACCCAGCCCCACCAGCCCTTGCAAGGAGAAAATCAGCCCCAGGCTCGGCCATGCTGACTCCAGCTTTTCTGTGCTCCTGTTTCTGTCTTGGCTCAAGGCCAGACATACGGTGGGGTTGGCCATGTGCCCAGGGGTCCCAGGGCTCTGCTCTCTGCAGCCATCAGAGGAGGCTCATGTGCCCCAGCTGTGAACAGGGGTGGGGCGCCAGCTGCATGAAGGGCTCTGTGCCACAGTGGATCCCTGTCCTCTGCAGGTGATGTATTTCAGCTCCCTCTTCCCCTATGTGGTGCTGGCCTGCTTCCTGGTCCGGGGGCTGCTGCTTCGAGGGGCTGTTGATGGTATCCTGCACATGTTCACTCCCAAGGTAAGGGCGTAGGGGTGCCCACAGCTCCATGGGCCCAATCAGCTTCATGCAGTGTAACACTCACAGAGGATCTGCTGTGTGTCGGGCATTGTGTCAAGCCCTGGAAGGATGCACGGGTGTTGGGGTATGGGCCCTGCCCTTGGGGTTTAAGGAGAAGTACATTACGTCAGTTTGGGAGGGGTGATACATGAATCGAGCTTTAGAGAGCAGATGGGATTTCAATGAGCGGCAAGAGGACATTGCAGTCAAAGGAACCACATGAGCAAGAGTGTGGAAAAGTACCGGGCATGCTGGTGGTAATGGTGGTTAGTCATTGGTGGTTAGTCCATGGTGGTTTGGCTGGGGCATGAGGACAGGGAGTGGTGGGGTTTTCATTGGGTGGGTCTGTGACAGCAGGAACCAAGAAGATGCCTAAGAGAAGAAGCTCCCTCAGGAATCCCAGCTTGTACCCAAATCAGGGAACAATGTTACTATTTTATTTAATAGACCAGGTGGACAGTGATTTTACCCTCAGCCAATTCATCTGCATCTCCTCTCCTTTAACAGGACATGTTTCATGGGGCTGCAGCAGGCACAGTGGTCTCTGCCCACCGTGTCGCCTTGCCTCTCTGTTCCCCTTCAGACCACTGAACACAGCTGGCATGAGTCAGTCCACTAAGGAGTAAGAGATTTGCAGATGCAGGTTGGGATGCCCTTCAAAGTGCCCCAAGCGATGTAATTAGCGACCCTGCTGGGCAGCCTGCGAAGTCCACCTCCTAATGCCAATTGACCAATCAGCGACCAGCAGGGGGGCCTGGTGAGATCCCAGTCACAGGCGTGGGTCAGAACCCCGCCAGTCTGAGGCCCTCAACATGGGCACTCGAAGTGTCATATCATACACATGCAAACATACACTAGAAGTTACACAGAAAATTCATACAGATGACACAGGGAGAAAAATCCAGATCCAGTGCAGTTTGAAATCCCCATTTCCCCCCAACTCCCCTGCTCTTCCACTGTGAACAGCTTCTGGTGTTTGGGGCGGGGGTGGCAATGCTCAGGACACACACCACTAGGTATTCACCAGACGTATAACCTGGCCCTTGGCATTCTGGGAAATAACATCTGAGGTTTCTATGGGAACAACCATGGAGGTCCACTTTATGAAGCACTTAGTGAATCTCCAGAGGCATGAGTGTGACTCCCGAGCCATGTGGCTGGCATAGGGTTGTGAACACACGGTATCTGACAAAGAAGAAAAAAATGCAAACCTGATTTCTTTGGGTTGGCAGGCGGGGGCGGGGCGTGCGGTGGGGGTGGGGATGGCCATGAGAAGAGAGCCAACTGTTTTTATGAATTACTTCAACTGTATCTCTAGACTCACGATCAGTCTAATGTGTTCACGTGAGTCTTTTAGTTATACTTTACTGAGGAATTTATATACCCTGGAGATGTCCATAAATGTGGAGATTCACACAGGTCTCCAGATGGGCCCCATGCAGGTGTTAAGAAAGCCCTGTGTGTAACTCTGAGAACAAGTAAAACCAATTCGTGAGATTAGCTGCTGGCCCCTGCACCCACAACACTGCTCACCTTTTGATTCAGACACTCTTTAAAACATCTTTTTAATTATGAAATATCTCAGGAATATAAAGACACATATATAATGATATAATAAACATTCTTAAGAAATAAAGTATTATGGATGCCATAGAAGTGCCTGTGCAGTCACCCTGATCTTATTCCCTTCTTCTCCAAAGATACTCATGTTCCCGAATTGGGGATTTATCTAATATCATTTTAAAAAATTTGTAGCATACGTGTCCATAAGCAACATATAGCATTTGTGCCCACTTTTAAACTTTACATGAATGGCGTCATATTATATGTAACCTTTGGTGACTTGCTTTTATTTTCGCTCAACACTGTTTTTTTGAGATTTATCTATAATGATATATGTAGCTCCGGTGCATCCATTTTTCATTGCTGTATAGTAGTCCACTGTGGCACTAAACTGAAATCGATTTATTCATCCTGTAGTTGATGATCGTTTGTTTCCAGTTTTCAGCATGGCTAATGATGCTACAATAGACATTATTACACAGATCTTTATGAGCACAGGTGTATATGTTTAGGAGTGGAATTGCTGTCCCAAAGAACATGTCCATCTTCAGTTTTACTAGATGTTGGCCAAATTGCTCTCTAATGCGGTGGTTGCGCCTATTAACACTCCCACCAGTTTCGTATGAGAGTCCCAGTGGCTTCACATTTGCTAGGCTTCAATTTTTGCCAGATGGATGTAAATGGCTGATGCTCATTTTGGGCAACAGGGGGCGCTCCTTTCCAAAACCTTTTCCTGGATGTTCAGGAAATAGTGTGATTCCACTCTAGCATTTGCAGAGGCCAGAGTTTCATGAGTTGAAGCTTAAATAAATCCAGAAGGTGCTAGAGGAGCCAGGTCACCAAGAACCAGCAGGTATGGCCCCTGACCCACCTAGCTCTTGTGACTTTTAGTCTGGATAGAGCCTGTGGGGCCCATCTTGAGACCTTGCCCACTGGAACAGTTCTATGGGGCAGGTCCTGCCCTTGACGCTGGAGGGATGCGTTGAGCAGGGAAGGGCCTCAGAGGCTAAACTCCTCCATCAAGAATCCTTTTCACAGCCTGAGCCACTGTTTGTTTGAGGTAGGTAAGGCCAGCAACGATGGCTGGGGTGAGGTTCCGCTGTAAAATACCCTCCAAGTCATCTGCAAAAAGAGACCCACTCCCAGAAACATTTGTCCGACAGTCCATCCACGGCAGAACTGCGGCCGTTCCGACCCAGGATGCTGAGACAGGAGGAACCTGGGAACCAGTTCACGTTCCTGCCGTAGAATGTTGCTGCAGAGTGCCAGGGCTGTTGCACACAGCTGCCCAGGCTGTGCACTGCTCCGTTCATAGCGACCACAGAGTAGATGACAGGCGTCATGCCACTTGGCAGCCGTGGCAGAGCCCAGGAAGATGTTTGGCTGGGGCAGCTCAGAATCCATTTGAAAGAAGCATAAGCTTCCATGGATTTGCTGAATGACCCCGAAAATTCTCTCTTCTGTAAAGTCTTTCAGCATCAGAAATAGTCCAAGCCGTAGGACCTGGACTTCCAGTCCATGCCTTTAAGCAGTTACTGAGTGTGACAAATGCAATGTGGCCAGGATACCATGATGACCCACTAGCATCTTTGATGGGACAGTAACTCATGTTAATGGCCGATAAACTTGAATTCCTTAGGCCACTTCTCTCCTGATTACTTTCTTTCTATTCAGTTAAAGACTAAGTCAGTGTGGGGTACCACACAATTAACGACATTATTTTCTCAATTGAAAGTAATGGATTAGGGTAGATTATGTTGGAATAGTGAACAAAATTACAAGTGTTCATGTCCTTTAGCCCAATTATTCCACTTCTGGTATTTGTCCTATGGATGTACTACTCACCCTCAAGCAACATGATCTATGCACAATATTGGTCATTACAGCATTTTGTGTTAGTAGCAAAAGACTGAAAACAACCCAAATGACCATGATGCATTTATTCCATTATTCGACAGTGGTTCATTGAATGTCTGCTATGTTCTGGGCACGGTCGTAGGTCCTGGGATCCAGCAGTGAACAGAGAGAACAAACTTCCAGGTCCTCACGGAGCTTGCATTTTAGTGGCGGGAGACAGTGTAATAAAGGAGTTGTCGGATGGTGTTGCTAAGGAGAGGAGTAAAGCAGAGAAGGAAGGATTAGGGGCGCAGGGAAGAGGGGTTGCTTTGGAACGCATGCTCGAGGGAGGCCTTTCTGAGAAAGTGACATTAGAGTGAAGACCAGGGGAGGTGAGGGAGCGGGTCATGGGGATATTTGGAGGTAGCGTAGTCCATTCCAGAGGGAGCGATAACCAAAAGGCCTTGAGATTGGACATGTCTGGCGCATTCAAAGAGGCTTGTGTGGCTGGAATGGCATGGGAGAGAGGTAGGTTATGAGGGCAGTGGGGTAGTGGGAAGCCAGATCGTGAAGATTTCGCAGGCCAGGTGAGGACTTCGGTGTCTACTCCGGGTGAAATGGGAGCTATTGGAGAGTTCTGAGTAGATGATCTAACTCCATCTTTGAAGGATCACTCTGGCTGCCATAGAGAATCTGAGGGTCCAAAGAATAAACAAGGAGACTCACTAGAAGGCTCCATGCAGATGCTAGTATCCATTCTAGATGAGAGGTGACTGCAGCTGGAGCCCAGGTAATGGTAATGGGGGTGATGAGAAGTGGTCATATGGAGGATTTATTGAGGAAGGAAAGCCAACGGGATTTGTTCTTGGATTGGATATGAGGTGTGAGAGAAAGAATGGGGTCAAGGGTGACTCCAAGGCTTGTTGCCTGAGCAACTGGGAGGATGGAGTTGACATTTATGGAGATGGAGGAAGACAGTAGGAGGAGCAGGTTTGGTGGGGGACCCCAAGAGTACCGTTTGGGGCATGGCAGGTCTGAATGTCTGAGTATCCAGGTGGAGATGTTGAGTAGGTAGTTGGATGAGTCTGGAGGTTGGGTGAAAGTATAAATTTGGCAGGCAGAGAATTTAAAGTTGTGTACTGGTTACAGCCGCCTGGAAAATGGATGTAGACAGAGAAGAGATCTGAGCACCGAGCACTGGGGTCCTGGTGTTTAGAGATTAGGGAAGAGATAGCCAGTAAAGGGAGAAGGAGGAGGAGGAGGGTGGAGGGAAATGTTCATCCCAGACGCAAAGAGAAGAAAATACTTTAAGAAGGAAGGAATGGTCAGCCATGTCCAAAACTGCCAAGAAGTGAGGACTGAGAAATGGCCAATGAACTTAGCAACAGAGGGGTCACTGATGACTTTGGTGGAGCGCTGGGGACAAAGTCTAATAGTAATAGGTTCAAGGGAAAATGGGAGGTAAGAAATTAAGGACAAGTAATAGACAACACTTATTTTCAGAAGTTTTGCTGCAAAGGGGAGCAGAGAAATGAGAAATGGGGTGTTAACTGGACAGGACC